ATCCCCCACCCCCACCTCTGCTTCCCCCCAGCGCTGGCCCGAGGCCTGCTGAGCGCCAGAGCAGCTCCCAGTGCAGCGAAGCCCGGGCCCTGGGCCTCTGCGGGGGTTCTTTGGGCCGTGGAGAAGTGGGCAGGGAAGGTCTGGACCTGCAGGAGGTGTGTGGGAGGGCCCTGAACTCCTCCCTCCGCTCTCAGCTCCCTGCTCTCAAAGCTCCCCCTCCCAGGTCCTTTACAGGAGATGCTAAAATGCCCTGACAGCCGTACCCAGAAGGAGCTGCCCTAGGGAGCTCGGGTGGTGTAGGGTCCCACCAAATCTTCAGTCTTGGACCCCCAAAGGGTCTAGAAGGTGTCTAGAATGGAGGTGGTGTTCTCTGGCTCATTAAACCTTGACGAGGACCAGCTGGGAAGGGGTTTCAGAGACTGCTGGCGGCTCGTGTGATTTCAGCTGCCTGAGAGCTGAGAGTCGCTCTTCACCCATAAAACAGACCGTGTGGTCTTCCCAGGGTGAGCGCAGCAGATGGATGAGCACAGCAGAGCACAGCGATGTGTATGGTTGCCGCGTTCATATAGAAAGGCCACCTCAGTTCGGTGTTACACTGACAGCAACTCAAACCTCAGCTCTGGAATACTCTGGAAGGACAGCACGATGTCCATGGAGTACGTGGGGTAGGAACATTACTAACTTTAAATCCACAAAGGTTCACCCTACCAAGTGTAGGGCAGCCTCTAAAAGCGTGTTGTTACTTCAAAAGCTTTTATTTCACTGACTTACCTTTGCTTCCCATCTGTAGTGAGCCATAATCTCAGATTTCTTTACGGTGAAATGCTGGAGTAGTCTAACATATGACCAAATAAATGAAGCATCTTGATAGTAACCCTCAACGCATCCCAAAGTCTACCTGCCTGCACCACCTGCCGACACTTAGAAAACAATCAGAGCTGGAAATCTCAGCTCTAAACCTTAGCTGAACGTGAGGCCGTGCTTTTAACCAAGAAGGGAAGGGAACCATCACCTCCAAAGGAAGCGAAAGGTGTGATATTCTGGAATACAGAAAACTTTCGTAGGTGAAATTTCACAATTCCATAGCGGCTTAAGCACGGAAAACCTGTTAAATCTACTTTCTCAATAGTTACACATATTTCTCAGGTACAGCGTTCACAAAACTTTCGCTTCTAGAAACTGTTACAAAACCCTCAAAGACTGTAGTAAAAAACAGCCATTTGTAAAAGCAGATGAAAAAATGTTTCCATGTGGCAATGTTTATGGGATGTTGAAAAATTTACTGAGTATTGGATAAAAAAACAAGAGTAATAACATTGCTTGAAACATTTTCAAAGAGAACTTAAATTAGGAAGAAGGGAAATTAAGTTAAATGCATTGATAAGGCCTGAGTGTTTCAGTTATAAACTATTCTAAGAAATGTGCAAATCCAACATATAAACACTTTAAAGAAAGTAAAACTGAGTTTTAATTCTAATACTTTCTTCAGGCAGAAAAGCATGTATACCTTTTAACTTAGTGTTTTGATTGGCTTCCAATCTGGGTAGGGCAGATTATATTTTAATATAAAGGTATGACTTAAAAATTCAGCATGTTAAATGTTAACATTTCAATAATACATCTTGTCAGTCCTGATTCAGTTATATATGCCATTTGCAAAAGCAAAACCAAACACAATATTCTTGAATACTCAAAGGGAATACTGTTCAAACTTTTATTTATTGTCGAGAAATCTGTGTGTAGACAGAAGAAAAATGAAGCCTCCACATAGAATTCATGTAAAAGTGGCGCTTTGGTTTGTGGCTGCGGCTGTTACTTGTAAAGCCAGGGTTGTTTTTAGTAGTACTACTTTCTTGTGGCAGACACTGTCGGTTGCCTCCCCAGCAACCAGCCTTCCACCCCTTTCTTCCGTCCAAGAGCACAGCCTCAGCTCCTGGGGAGGGTGTTCGCCTTCGCATGCTGTCAAGCTGTCACTCTGTGGAGTTACATGTTGATTAGTAAAAGCCTGACGTCACAATCTGCCAGCTGCCAGTCACTGATTTGGCATCAAGAACTCTGGCTGGCAACGAAGAAATCTCTACTTGGGAATTAGAAACACATCTATTTGGGGGTGAGGAGGAGGTTGGTTAGGGTATTCTTTTGTGAGAAAAAGAGACAAAGAAGAGAGCAAGGACTAACGTGTAAGTTTGTGAAAGTTAGAAATACATTTGTTGTTATGCAAAGAAAAGGGGCAAACCTAAAGGCAAAGCAGCCTGGTTGAGTCTCCCTGACATTCCCTAATCATTGATATAGTTCCAGTGTGTGTGTGTGTGTGTGTGTGTGTGTGTGTGTGTGTGTGTGTGTGTATGCTACAAGCACTAACAAATGTATTAAGTCACATTGACTTCAATATTCAATTGCTGGCAGCCCAAACCATTCTAAGACACAATTCTACACAGACAATTTCCTCCTCTGCCAGGGTCCTATTTGTTCTCTTCTCTCTATGTGCATAGTTAGGAGGTATCCTTTATTGGTCACATGTGTTTTTTATCTATACACTGTGCTAGTTATTTCCTGCATTGTTCACTTTCATGACCTCATGATTCGTCTGGCACTCTGTTCTTGGTAAGTCTATTAGTCCGCCTTCCCACTGCTGGACACGATACGCAACGTCCACAATTGAAAGGAGGAGAGATTTGATTTGGCTCACAGTTCCAGTGGGTTCAGTTCATGATGAGCTGGCTCCAAGGCTGAAGCATCATGGCGGAACAGTTTGGTGGAACAGAGATGCTGAACAGATGGTGGTCAAGGAGCGGAGCAGGGGAACAGCACCAAAGAGGAAGGTGAGAAGGACCAGACATAGATTCTAAGGCATCCAGGCCTCCGTGACCCATCCAGACACACCCAGAGGTGTGCTCTACCCTGCTGGACCCCAAATCCAATCAAGTAGGCATGCTAGCTTAACCACCACGGCAAGTCCGTCTCCACTCGGAATGTGTATAAGGGTTAAACTTATCAACTTCACTGGATTAAGAGACTCCTGTGGGTAAATCTGTATCTGAGAACATCTAGAAGGTGGCTGGCATTCAAGTCATAGTTCAAGACTTTGGTCATAACTTAAAACTAAAATTCTGGTCATAACCCAAGTTATTTGTATGACAGGCCAGTCATACCCTGAGAATCCACTGTACACAGAGGTGTAAAAGTAGAATTGCTGTGGTGGGTGTTTTTGGAGGTGGCATCAGTGTAGCACAATGTTTATGACACAGAGTTTGAGTTAAACTCCACTCATGAAGTATCACTAGTCCTTGAACCTCGAGTGTGCTACTGGGCCTTTGTGAGCCCTAGATCCTTCCTTTTAAAGGGAAATAATGCTAGTCCTCTCACACTGTCACTTCATGGATTAAGATGAGTTAATGCGTGAACACACTTGAACAGTAACATAAGTAGAAAGTACTTAAATATTACTATAAGTACTAACTAGAGGTTTTATATTTATTATTTGACAAAATTAACGAGCTTCAATGAAAGTATTATACAATGGAAAGCTTAGTATAATACTAAGCTTTTAAG